ATTTTACTTTTACAAAGGTGACTATAAAGTTGTCATTTTCTGACGACTGAACAAATGTACTGGTAAAACCAAGTATTCCAACAATGTAGTCTCAAGATTTAATCTATTCGTCTTGTGTAAATAACGATACAAAACAACAACCCTGATATTCCTATAGAATCATGTCCAAGATAAACAGACGGCTACATTTGTTTCATCAAGTCAAGTATCAAGTTCAAGCCCTACAGCTGTTTCATCAAGTCAAGTATCAAGTTCAAGCCCTACAGCTGTTTCATCAAGTCAAGTATCAAGTTCAAGCCCTACAGATGTTTCATCAAGTCAAGTATCGAGTTCAAGCCCTACATTTGTTTCATCAAGTCAAGTATCAAGTTCAAGCCCTACATTTGTTTCATCAAGTCAAATATCAAGTTCAAGCCCTACATTTGTTTCATCAAGCCAATTATCAAGTTCAAGCCCTACATTTGTTTCATCAAGTCAAGTATCAAGTTCAAGCCCTACATTTGTTTCATCAAGTCAAATATCAAGTTCAAGTCCTACATTTGTTTCATCAAGTCAAATATCAAGTTCAAGCCCTACATTTGTTTCATCAAGTCAAGTATCAAGTTCAAGCCCTACAGCTGTTTCATCAAGTCAAGTATCAAGTTCAAGCCCTACATTTGTTTCATCAAGCCAATTATCAAGTTCAAGCCCTACAGATGTTTCATCAAGTCAAGTATCAAGTTCAAGCCCTACAGATGTTTCATCAAGTCAAGTATCAAGTTCAAGCCCTACAGCTGTTTCATCAAGTCAAGTATCAAGTTCAAGCCCTACATTTGTTTCATCAAGTCAAGTATCAAGTTCAAGCCCTACATTTGTTTCATCAAGTCAAGTATCAAGTTCAAGCCCTACATTTGTTTCATCAAGCCAATTATCAAGTTCAAGCCCTACAGATGTTTCATCAAGTCAAGTATCAAGTTCAAGCCCTACAGCTGTTTCATCAAGTCAAGTATCAAGTTCAAGCCCTACATTTGTTTCATCATTTCAAGTATCAAGTTCAAGCCCTACAGCTGTTTCATCAAGTCAAGTATCAAGTTCTAGCCCTACATTTGTTTCATCAAGCCAATTATCAAGTTCAAGCCCTACAGATGTTTCATCAAGTCAAGTATCAAGTTCAAGCCCTACATTTGTTTCATCAAGTCAAGTATCAAGTTCAAGCCCTACATTTGTTTCATCAAGTCCAGTATCATGATCGAGTCCTACAGCTGTACTGTCCTAAGCCAAAGAGAGAGAAAGAAACACTCTAACTTTTATAATGTATCACACAGAAATGAAGGTCTCGAATTCACATTAGCTAAATAAAAAACATAAAATATTCATGGCATATTATATTGGACTTCTGTACAGAAGTTTCTAGAAGATTCAGAATGTATATTTAGTTAATTTGTTGACTTTAATTGTATAAGAACAATGCCTTCACAACGTTATCTCTTACGTTATTGTTTTTTTTATTGTTAGAATCGTGGGTCAGAATACATTTTAAATAGGATTTTTTTTTATTTGTCGCACCATTATAAGAATGTATACGTAAAACATTAAAAGACAATGTTTTTGATAGTTTTCCACTTTATGATTATCAGCATAACACCTTTACCATTTTAAAATGTCACCATTAGCAAATCTACAAACATTGTTTGACAATTAGGTTTTAAAAAAAATATATTAATGTTATGATCAGCTTTTATGACTGGTTTTATTTCTTGAGTCATAACATTATTCTAGAAAGTTTTTTTGCACAATGGATTTATTTTGAAGACGTGTTCTAATCGTTTTTGAACGCGTGTAAAAGTTATTGGCCGTTATTATTTATCATTTTACCTCTTTGTATCAAAGGTGAGTCATTTCGTTCTATGAACAGGATCGCAAAATATTTTAAAATATTATTTTGATTTATGGCAAGATTATAGCTTAAGAGAGAAATTGTTCTATTTTCTATAAATACTCTAGACAAAAAAGACTATTCGTTTGTCGGCGCCAGTAGTGAGCTGGTTATTAAACAATGTATACCATATTTTGAAGGACAGAGAGCATCCTTAATTAAAGCGGCTGCTTCAGATAAAAGTATACTGTTTTGATAATTTTCTTTAGTTTTACAACATCGTTTATGCTATGAAATTTATTTTGGAAAAAAAACCCACATATTTCTTTAAAAACAACTAAGCGTGTACTATGTTAGAAAAAAAATAACAAGATGTTTAGGCCTATTTCTTATTTAGAGTTCATGTAAAACTAAAATGCTATAAAAACTTATTTAACAAAACAATATTTTTTGTGTGTACAGCTAAAACATTTAGTAAAATTAAATATACTGACAAAGTGTGTGGATTTAGCTGATATTTTTATTTTATTTCTTGTTTGTTTGCGCCTCCGTAGAATACGTGCTTAGTTGTTTTGTTTTTTTTAAATTCAAATAGTGTAACACTTTTCTCTTGATATCGACGAATAGGAGATGCAGACATTTTCATAAACTACACAATGTACGTGCACCTACTGAGCACATTTCTAATTTTTCCTGACTTCTCCCTAGTTGACACAATCGTCTGTTGTATCAACAACACGACCGCTTACGTCACAGTGTGTATAGCCATTGATCCTCCAACACATCACGTGATGTACCACGTCATCAGCTGCCTATACACAATTCAACTGTTTACGCTCGAACAAAAAGTTGCTGTAGTAAATTTTCTTTTGGCGTTCTTCAGCGTCTGTGCATGTTTCAACTACGATGTGTTTTTCATCATGCCACACGGCATAGTCAGTGTCATCACCTCTGTGTTCAATATTTCGGATTTGCTGATGCAAATGCATAACGAAAGAAACACATTTGACGAAATAATAAATTGGTATCTTTCTTTTGAAGTCTCCATCGTTTCACAGATTAAATTAGGTTTTAATACAACAGGATGCAATATTGCTGACTTTGTGATTTTAGATGCTAGTGTTTGTTTGCAAATAGAGTTGTTAAGGTATTATAAAGTAAGACTCAAAGTATGTGTTTTAATAATTATAAATGTTACAATAAGCTACTTCTTGTAAGTGTTGATAGAGGTAAACCACGTTTGAGTCGGGTTGACCTATCGGTAGAGATCAGTGTCTGTAATGTATCCAGTAAATGCGAGAATGGACCGCATTGATTTCTCTGTGAAAATAATTTTGATGAAAACATTGCATTAATCGTGATCGTACATAAATAAATTAACTTAAACATTATAGACAGTTTAAGAAACGTAATAATCGAACATGACTTTTAAAACTGTAAAAACTCTGCAATTTGACAATACATCGCGTATGACTTGGGTATTGGACGCATAGACATACTTTTGGAAAAAGGATTAAACTGTTGCAGATGTTGATCACAAATTTCCAGTAGATTTTCGTAAGCATGAATTCGTTTTAAGAATACAAACATTGTTATACTTGTGTTATTTTGAATGTAACCTATTTAAAAAAAAACACATTAGTATTCATTTTCAATACGAATTGTGAAGGACATGACATACTGTAGTAGCCATTATTTAAAATATTGGTAAAAAGGCCATATAATTCAGGAAGAGTATTAGACTGCTAACAGCAAAAGACTCAAGTTCGGATTCGGATTCCAGTCAGTGGAATGTACCTGAGTTCATCCATCTATGATGTGTTCCTGACTCAAGTTAGAGAAAGTAAAGGCGACTGGACGTAGTGCTGACCATAATATCCCTTCATATGACGAAGTAAAAAAATACATGGATTATACTACATCTCTAGGTGCAAAAAGGAATGTTTATATTGCTTTATGATACATTGTAATTTTACTTCGAAAAAACACATTAACACATCTGGAAAATAATATTTTGAAATGTGTGTTTTTTATATTTTATAGGCCACCAATTATATATTACCTGTTTTTATTACGATAACTGTTTGCGTCGAAAATATGTGTGTATCGTTAGAAATATTTGTAATTGAGTATATTGCAAGTATACAAAAAAAAAAAAAAAAAAAACAAGTACTGTAGCGCCAACACATAAAGCTAAAGTCAAATCTACTATACAATGCTCACATATCTATTTCTAGTATGTGCACTTTGATTTACATTGTAGTTATGTTGCAAATCGCAGTGGATTGTAAGATGTTGGTATTAAACTTTCTTTGTAATAGAACGATTTCATTTGTAAAGAACGAAATTAAATATGTATGAAGGCTATACATGATTAGAATTTTCTTTAGATCAAACTTTTTTGCAAAAACATTTGTTTTAAATATTTCTATGTTTGTAAGTAATGCCCATATTTTGCAAATAAATTATATGTAAAATAATTTTATTGCATACCACTATTGTAGATTGCATAAAATTATTGTAAGTATTGTAAGTGTCTAATCACTTGTGTAAAGCTGATTTATTGGGATAACATACGTAAAGTAAGCTAACCGAACACAGTGAGTTTTCTAGAGTCGAACTAATACTCATGAAGTTTGAATAAATTTGACAATGTTTCAATTGTTTGATATTTAAAAAAATATTTTACAAATCCCTGCCCCATCTTTTTCAGTTATTTTCACACAAATTCATAAACCAAAATACTAAGATGATAATTATGATAAAATATCGGTTTCGCTTTTATAAAGGATAATTTCAAACTATAATTTTAGTATACTTTTCAACAGTATTTGTGTGTACTAGTTTTTTATCCTGCCCTTTGTAGCACACAACTTATATATAACTGGTATTGTTTTGATAGAGTTGTGGTTATAAAATCATAGTTTATGTTGTTACAACAATACCTGCAGGTATACGCAAAGTTACGTTGTTTGATTACGGCAGTAGCAAGATTAAAAGGTAGAATGGCAACTGATAATTATATTTTTTTATGTATCAACTGTCTGCTTTCTGATATTATCACTTGGTAAAACCTTTCGCTTTTTTGTTCATAGTGTTTTAAAAATCGTTTTTTAGACATATGTGTATCACATAAGACACATAAACAATTTTATAATTTATTCTCATTATTTTTGTTTATTCACAATGTATACTATAAAACCCTTAATTAATTAGGGGTAACTCTTATTTATAACATTTTAACAGTACTCAGATAATGTTGATGAATTAAAATGACATCATTTTCACATACATTCCCAATACTTTATCATTGAACTATCTCACAAAATGAACAATTTATCAGCATTCAATCAATTTTATCATACACATAAAAGCTGTATTACCATTACATTTTCATAAGATCATTTACAAAGCTGAATCACAGGCAGATGGGCATATGACACTAGTTCTACTAGATCCGCTTACATGTGAAAGTAATCAAAACACAAAGAGTAAAGTAAAAACAAATGTGCAATACATTATATTAAAAAACACTTAATTACAATATCTAACCAATTGTGAAATGCATTAATAAACATATTTTCTATTTAAATATATAACATTGGATTTTTTTTTCATATTTAAAAATTTTTTTTGCAAAATTCTACCTGTTTTCTTATTTAAAGCAAGCTATTTAAAATAACAGGCTTCGGAGGTTTTTCTAACTACAAACATTACAATATTTTTTTTTTCAAAAGCAACAAAGGTATGGGCTTTATACAAGATTTTGAAAATGTACATTATGTAATGTTCATTTTCATCTATTTATAATAGAGTTATTTTTGCAAAACTGTAAGCTGAACTTGCATTTATATCTGAATGCTATTGTTTATACAATTCTTTACGTGTTCATGTATTTTTAAGAATTTAATATGTACTTGTCAAAATAAACATAGCTTCGAAAAAAGTCTATATTTATTGAGTATGTAATGAATATAAAGCAGTAGGCTACTCCTTCATTTGTTAGTGACAAACCACTCTTTATGTGCTAGGCTATACATATGTGTGACGGTTACCCTACATCTGTTAAAAGTGTCAAGTTTTACTACAACTACTAAATTACACTTTGACGTGTATAACAGTTACCGCATAATTGCTACACCACAACTTTGATTTGTTACGTAGTTTCCCTTCTTTTGATAGATTAGAAATATTCGATGTTGTGAAAATTACCCTACGATTACCATTTCTATAACACTAGTATGTGTCAAAATAACCCCACATTTGCTAGACTAAGAAATTGATTATTCAAAAACACCCTACAACTACTAGACAAAAACATTGATGTGTTAAGTAGTTAATCTACATTTGCTACATTACAACTGTGTTTTGTACAAAAATTTACCCAACATTTGATGGGCTACAACTTTGATGGACGAAACCATTCCCTTAGAACTGCTGAATTACATTTTTTGATTGTGATATTACTACCTTACATAAGCTACATTACATCAGTGTGGCTTTCAGTTCATTAAGTTTACTCTACGACTTTCTAATACTTGGTCTGGGTTTTTGGTCACATCATCCTCGAGAGTGGGTTTAGCGATCATGCACTGTCCAACAGAGTTGCCGTTCCTGGGGAAAGTTTGGATTTAGGTTAATGGAGTGTAGAGTGAAGTTTAGCATAATGGAATAAAAACAATCTTTATTTTAGGTTAATGGAGAGGGGGAAAGGCTTAAGTTATTGAAGATTTGAAAGTTAGAGTTCGATTATTAAAGAGTGGAAAAAAATTGGTTTAGATTACACTATGTTATATGCAAACGAATAGTTATGACGGCCATGCAAAAGTTTAGTGATCGCCTTACTACGATTATTCAATATATAACTAACAACAATGTTCTAAAATACAATCTTTTAATTTAATGAAATAACCCTTTTAAATTATTAAATTGTCTGTTCTTCTTCTTCGTTCTTTTTTTAGTGTTGGAAGCTATCCCCTTCAACACAAGTAAGTAAACGTGTCTACTGCTTATGCCAACGAGCTTCATCTGCCCGAGGGTTTGAACTCAAGACTTTTCGGTTAAGCAACCATGAGCTTTTACCGACTCGATTATTTTTATCACTTTTTAAAATATTTTAAAACCTATTTATAAAAATTGAACAGATTTATTTCAGTTTTCGAAGTAAATAATTAAAAAAAAAAACTCAACCCCCCCCCACCCAAAAAAAACAGCATGAATGAATACACAGCGAGTCGACTCACCTGTCTACGGTAACCCCAAGTTTGGGATCCTTGGGGTCAGTGTGTCGCACGTACACAGCGTCACGTGACGACATGGACGGACACTCGGGGAAGTAGTTGAAGGGCAGCAGGTAGAAGGTCAGGTGGTTCCCGGTGGTGGACACGGTGGGCAGGTCCTCGGTGTGGGGGATGTGGTAGGTTCCCATGGTTACCCAGAACACCAGATCCTGCGAGGGGAGAAACAGGAACATGGGATATTAGGTTCAAACAGTTTTTGTCAGGATATTAGGATAAAATAGATACAATAAATATGTATTAGGATAGCAGGGGATGAGGCTTCATGGATTGGGAGAAAATAGTTTACCTTGAATGGATTTGGATATAACTGTATCCAATTCATGAATCGGGATAGAATTGTAAATCATTTACTGTATACTCTTATTGCAAAAACAAAACTCTCATGATCAACAATACTTGACTAGAGAACAACTGATCTACAATAACCCCATTGAACTCATCTGATCTACAACACACTCCTATAGAACCCACCTAATCTACTCTCCAATACAACAACTGATCTATAATACCCCCTCCCCCATATAACTCACCTATTCGACAACACACTAATATAGAACCCACCTAATCTACTCTCAAACATAACTTACCTGATCTACAATACTCTCCTATATAACTTACCTGATCTACATTACTCTCCTATATAACTTACCTGATCTACATTACTCTCGTATATAACTTACCTGATCTACATTACTCTCCTCTAAAACGTTACTGATCTACCCTACTCTCCTATAGAATTCACCTGATCGACAATATTCTCATCATCCTCATAGAACTGAGCGAAGTTGACCACTGGGTTGGCACTGTCCAGGTTAGCATAGCTTGAGCTGCTGCCCCTCTCTGTGTCCTTTTGTTTGGTCACCGCCAGCTGGTGCCTGGCCCACGGGATGGACTTCTCTGTACCCTGACCCTCGGGGAGGAGACTCTTCGACATACTGTCAATCAGTATTCTGGAACATTCATATTACAGTTAACATTTTGTTTTTTAATAGTAAATGATCTTTTATAGCCTACATGGTTAAACAAAAAAATATGTTTCAAATACATACAGTTAAAAAATAAGAAGATACATTAGAATTACAGGAAAAAAATATGTTTGCGTTGAAAATAGTAACATAAATACATATGAAAAAGATTTTTAAAAATATGATTAGATTAATAGATAATTGAAAATTATATGTGAGTTTTAACACATCTAAATTTTGACCCCACTGTGCAAACTAAATTGCTTTATTTTTCAGTTAAATCGTTTATTTTTCATGGTTGTGAATGTATTCGTATGTTATAGACAAAAAACAATTATTAATCTCTTCTCTGTTATATTTATTTTTAAAAAACTAGCAACAACAATATCCATATACAATCACATTGCTTAAGTAGATTTACACAGTTTAGTACTTTGCATTCTGCATTTATTACTGAACACATTTTACACATATTTTATGCCTTTGTTTTTAACGTACTAGAAAGAAACATGCATTAATGTTACATTTTAACATTGTTAAGACCTATTGAAAATTTGTATTTACCTGTAAGATTTGTGTTGTGAGTAGCTCGTCTTTGAGGCGTTATTGTAGACAACGTGGTACTTTGGTTGTTCAAAGTTGAAGTCCAGCAGAGCTTCTTTTTCTGTTGTCTTGAGAGTTTTGACCATTTTATTCTGGTACAGCATTTTTGTTGGATCCTACTCAAGAGGACGGGTTATGTGTGAATATGCATTTAACATTACACGATCTTATTCATTTTATTCAAGACAGTTTTTAAGTACGTCGCTTATACATTTCTTTAAACTTCTGGGATAAAGTGGTCTTAATTTGTGTTATTTATGCCGACATATGGAATACTTCGAGATGGCTTTTTTGGGGTATTTTTTTGCTTTAAAAGCGGGACTGCATATATAGACTACCCATTAACAAAAATACATTATTAAAAACAAATAAAGCAGCAGAACTAGCATGCACTTCTGCGACTAGTTTTCCTACTATCCTAATTAAGAAATTATGAGGAATCATAAAGACTCAGCAGCAACATACGCAACATACTGGGCCATCTGTAAGATATCCATGAGTAGTCAAATAAAATCATAAATGACGTGATCTTCAATGTAATACTTAAGATGAAAGTATTTTCTTAAAGATAGAACATCTCAAGATTTCTTATTTGCTTTTCTCTTTACAACAAAAAAACATTAAAAAAATTAAATTTAAAAATTTAAAATTTAAAAAAAAAAAAAAAAAAAAAAAAATGAATCCATAAAATCTCACGTCAGTTCTGTTGGTCTGGTCCTGGACGATGTTCAACGTCTGGTATCTGTTGCTGGTGCCGCCAATGTCAAGGTCCACCTTAAAATGCGCCAGGTGGTGATGCAGGTTCCCGAACAGAGTGTCTCCGAGTTGAAAGCCATACATCTTCTCGATATCGCTAAAGTAGTTGGACTGTATATAGCCTAGAGACAATGATTCTATTAGAATGTTTGAAGATTTTTAAATTGTTTACAAAACAGCTTGATTGAAATATCGATAAACAGTTGGGACGTTAAATATAAAACATTAACATAAAAAATTAGCAGATAGAAAAATCTAAATATGGATATACTAAGTATTCTAGCAAACCCTGTAATGTACCAAAGCAATGGCAGAAAAAGAGCTAATGGCCTTAGTGTGAGATGTGTTTTTAGATTACTAATTTAAATTAAAATATATCTCTTTATTAATATCGAACGATGAGACTTCTGTAAAAGAAGTGTCACAATACATTGCGTATTGTATTATAAATCGAATATATTCATGAACTATAAAGTAAACTTAGTAATACATGTTAGTAAAAAAAATCTTTGGCTAAGCTAGCATATGGCTCTAATTTAAATATTGCATTCAATTTGAATTGAGAAAAATATAAGGTTGAGTTTTATTGCTGTATTTCTTCTATAAACTTACCTGTGGGCATGATCTTTGTCTCTAGGGCGCCATTTTGGTGGAAAATAAAATCAACGATGTAGTCGTAATTGAACACTGTAAGGGCTGATCTGTTAGAAGAGAAGTACAGATATCCCTTATGACCGCCAAAACTGTGAATTTTATAATGGTAATGGGGACGTGTGAGCTAGAATGCTAACCCGAGAGTCTTGAGTTCGAATCCGGGTTCAAATCAGTGGAACGTCCCTGAGTACGTCCAGCTTTGATAGGTACATAACTTACGTTAAGGAAACAAATGCGGCTGGGCATAGTGGTGACTACACTATCCCTTTATATGCCGAGGTCAATAAATTAGATGAACTATACTTCATCTGTCCCATGTGTCTTGGGCACGAACGGGATTAAGAGGAAGAAGAATGGGGACATGTGGGGGTTGTATGGTAAGGGTCAGGTTGGTTAGACTGTAGAGTACAGGACTGCTAACCGGGAGCTCTATAGTTCGGATCCTGGAATCGGATCTGCAGCTCTGATGTGTACATGACTCACGCTAGAGAAACCAAGGCGGCTGGACAGGTTTGTTTGGAAGTTATCGAGTTCTTTGTACATACGATGTGATAGGTAGTATAACGGTACCATTGATGCGTTTAAATTCAAACATTTAGAGAAAATATTAATTTTTTTAACTAATTTACAGAATCAAAAATAGTCTTTATATCCGATAGCTCCAAGCTTTTCAGCCCGATGGCCGCATTAACAGTCAAACATCAGTTCGGGGGCCAGAGTTTCTTCCAGGCATCTCTTTGGAGATGAAGTAGATATAACCCATACTAATGGCATATACGCACCCGCTTTTAGTTTCTTCAGTCAGTTAAACTTTAAGCGGTATCCGAACATTTTTTTTTTTTTTTCAGATTAATACATGTTTGTTCTATCCTCTGATCACGTTATTAAATGTTTTCCCAATGTCTTAACCCCTGTTAGTAAACTTCTATACACGAAAGTGACTGACCTAAGGATCAGAGCAGAGTCCAGCATGCCGCCATAGAAGGCACGTCGGCTGTTGCCATAAGTCAAATGTCTGCGAAGTGGGAAGCCGTTGTTGTGCTCGAACAGACAAAAGGCGGCGTCGTAGACACCTGGTGTGTCGCTGGATTGGCTCATGAAAGTCTGGAATTACAGGTGTGGTTAGTGGTAAAAGTGTGTTCATTTGACGGTGCTGGTGTATGTTTGGTAGTAAATGGGTGTGGTTAAAGGTGTAGGAGTATGTGCGATAGGTGTCACATGTTTGTGTGTATGTTGTTGAACAAATGTGTGGTTAATGGTTCAGGTGTGTGTGGTTAATGGTTCATGTGTGTGTGGTTAATGGTTCAGATGTGTGGTTAATGGTTCAGGTGTGTGGTTAATGGCTCAGGTGTGTGTGGTTTATGGTTCAGGTGTGTGTGGTTAATGGTTCAGGTGTGTGTGGTTAATGGTTCAGGTGTGTGTGGTTAATGGTTCAGGTGTGTGTGGTTAATGGTTCAGGTGTGTGTGGTTAATGGTTCAGATGTGTGGTTGATGGTTCAGGCGTGTGTGGTTAATGGTTCAGGTGTGTGTGGTTAATAGTTCAGGTGTGTGTGGTTGATGGTTCAGATGTGTGTGGTTGATGGTTCAGGTGTGGGTGGTTAATGGTTCAGGTGTGTGTGGTTGATGGTTCAGATGTGTGTGGTTGATGGTTCAGGTGTGTGGTTAATGGTTCAGGTTGTGTGGTTAATGGTTCAGGTGTGTGTGGTTAATGGTTCAGGTGTGTGTGGTTAATGGTTCAGGTGTGTGAGGTTAATGGTTCAGGTGTGTGGTTAATGGTTCAGGTGTGTGTGGTTGATGGTTCAGATGTGTGTGGTTGATGGTTCAGGTGTGTGTGGTTAATGGTTAAGGTGTGTGTGGTTAAAAGTTCAGGTGTGTGTGGTTAATGGTTCAGGTGTGTGTGGTTAATGGTTCAGGTGTGTGTGGTTGATGGTTCAGTGTGTGTGGTTATTGGTTCAGGTGTGTGATTAATGGTTCAGGTATGTGTGGTTAATGGTTCAGGTGTGTGGTTAATGGCTCAGGTGTGTTTGGTTAATCGTTCAGGTGTGTGTGGTTAATGGTTCAGGTGTGTGTGGTTAATGGTTCAATGTGTGGTTAATGGTTCAGGTGTGTGTGGTTAATGGTTCAGGTGTGTGAGGTAAATGGTTCAGGTGTAAGTGGTTAATGGTTCAGATGTGTGGTTAATGGTTCAGGTATGTGTGTGGTTAATGGTTCAGGCGTGTGTGGTTAATGGTTCAGTGTGTGTATGTTTAATGGTTCAGGTGTGTGTGGCTAATGGTTCAGTGTGTGATTAATGGTTCAGGTGTGTGTGGCTAATGGTTCAGTGTGTATTGTTAATGGTTCAGGTGTGTATGTTTAATGGTTCAGGTGTGTGTGGATAATGGTTCAGTGTGTGATTAATGGTTCAGGTGTGTATAGTACCGGTGTATGTGTCGTTGTACATGTATGTAATTAGTCGGTACAGTTGTATGTGGTCAGTGTTCATGCGTGGCTGGATCGTGGTCAATTAGGTGATCAGAGTTATATGTGTGGGTGGTTAGTGATACAGGTGTGGATGGCGATATAGGTGTGTGGATGGTGATAGAGGTGTGTGGGTTGTGTTACATGTGTGAGGATGGTTGTACAGGTGTGTGTGTGGTAAGCTGCTCATGTGTGTGTAGCTATTTGTACAGGTATGTATATTGTCAATAACACGTAATAACGTACACATATAAACCGCACTAATTATCAAGTACCTCACTACACGGTGTGAGTATTCACTGCTGAAACCTAAGTTATTTTATATCGTACCTCATTACACTGTGCCAGTGTTCACTAATAAAACCTAAGTTATTTTACATCTAAAACATAAGAGGATGATTAAACCATGTAGGAAAACCCACCTGGTTTACTAGTGTAGCTGTATCAGGACAATCTGCCCCAGGTACAAGAGCCTTGGATTGGGTCCCGATCAAATAACCGCTGTCCACGAAGTTACTGAATTGCTGGAATAACATCAAGTAAATAATGAATTACGTCCCTTGTTTATTAAAATAGCATGCGTTTTTTCTTTCTTTTACTACTGCAATCCTAATTGTGTGTGTTAAATTATGTAGACCTTAGGTAAGCACATCTATGTTAAGCTTCTTTGAAGCATCTTCTCAGAGGGGTGGGGTGGGGGGAAGCACCACACCCCAAAACACGTCTAAGCGCCCCCCTCTCCAAACGAAATATTATATATGTACAAAATATATACATTAACCACTGTCCGCCCTTTGGAAATTTAAGTCCGCCCCACCACCCACCCAGAAAGTTTCGTGTCCCCACTCCCTAATAATAATTTCTGAAAGAAACACGGCATCTGTGTTTGATAATTGGTCTCAATTTTGGAGGTTACTAAAATAATCAGTTTATTTTTTACTTTTTTGTATTAGTATTTTATCCAACAGCTATTTGCGTTTAATTGGTTAACACAAAACCCTAACCGTAACTACAACACCCCCTAAGTAATTGTATTATTTCTAAAGCCTCCACCTCCCCTCCACACTTTCAACACATTAGGTCCCCAATTAAAATACCTTACTTTCAATCAAGAGAAGAAAATAAATAGGTTCGACTGAGTATCGAAATGAAAGTTTAAAAAGGGAGACAATCATGACTTACCACTGAAGGAGTTGCCCCCGAGTAAAAGACAGCAAGTTCCGATAACCCGAGCTCGTATGCGATTCTCTCCCCTTTAAAACGGATATCGTTCAACATTGGCCCAGTGAAGGATGACATCCGGAAGTTGAAAGCCCAGTTTAAGTAGGTCACCTGTACATCACAACAAACAAGTTATAATTATTTAAACTAGAACACGATATATCAACAGTTGGGGTTGTCTCTATGCTATATGCACAAGTAACAATACATTTGATATTTTAATGGAGCTGTCAACTATTTGTGTATGCAAGTGTTTATAAATTATCTATTATCTGCTTACTTAAAATAGTCATAAAAAACATGGCTATTACACTTTTATCTGCATTCTACTACTATAGGCCTAACTATCTAATATTTTCATTTTTACTTTTTTCGTTTATGGTATACTAATAGTAATTATGTTCTACTATTTTAAGTAATTTGTAATTTTAATGTGTATAGATTAAATCGATTTCACCTTAGTTTACGAGCTTTTTAAATCTTCAAAAAGATCACCTTACACACACGTTTTAATGTTCTACACACTGTTTAGTCTACTATTATTATTTTCATAAATTTATGTTTTAATCTAAATAAATGCCATGAATTGTATTTTATTATTTACTAATCAATTATGCCCTCTAATTTTACAGGGTTTTTATAGAACCCCACTCTCCCATCCAATTACTTATCACTATTTGGACTGACCCTCCTGTCCCTATATTTAGACTCACCCCCTGTCCCTATATTTAGACTCACCCCCTGTCCCTATATTTAGACTCACCCTCCTGTCCCTATATTTAGACTCACCCTCCTGTTTTTGACGGAGTACCGTTTACCATCGGGTTCAACCAGGACCGGCGCCCTCTGGGGGTTGATGGGCTGGGGGTCCCCACGTCTCTGAAGTGATGAGTACAGCTTGTCGTTGTCCACTGGTTTGGTCATGTTGATCTTGTTGGTCAACCTGCTCGGTATTAATTAATTAATTAGTAAACATACATGTTGATCTTGTTGGTCAACCTGCTCGGTATTAAATAATTAATTAGGAAACATACATGTTGATCTTGTAGGTCAATTTGCTTACCATAGAACAATTAACAACTTGGTCAATCTGCTCAAAATTAAACTATTAGGTAATTAATTAGGAACCAGATTTGTGGATTTGTTGGTCAATCTCCTAACATTAATTAGTTAAATATTCAATTAGGGATTAGACATGTTGACTTTCTTGAACAATCTGCTAATAATAATTAAATAAAATTAAGCCTGCTTCTAAATCAGTATACTTGTTATCATAAAAAAATGTAACGACACACCAGGATTTCTTTTAGAAAATCTTCTCCGAGTTGGGAGGAATAAATACTTCTGAGATGGGGGGGGGGGGGGGGGGGGGGCAAAAAAAAATATTTTAAAATTCAATGCTTTTGTTTCATCCCAGTTTCAGAAAATATTCTCGGGGTAGTGGAGGCTTAAGCAATGGCTGAAAGAAACGCTGTACCACATACATTTGACCTGTGGGTCGACTTACGTGTTATACTTGGAGCTGAAGTCCGCAATGCTCTGGTATAGGGCGCCATTGTACCAGACTTTACCCACGGTCCAGTTCTTGGGGTCCACGCCATCAACCGACAACTCGAAAGCAAACCCGATAGGGTGGAGGGGGGCGTAGGGTAGGTTGTAGAACCCCACGATCCAGTTACTCCTGTAGGAAGGAAGGAGGTGTGGATAGTTTCACAACACAGATTTAAATTACCCTTTGATACTCAAGAAAATATTGTGTAATACATAATCACACAATCCATTTACTCCTGTAGGAGGGAATGTGGTGTCGATAGACTCATAACACAGGATAAATTTACCCTTTGATACCCAAGAAAACATTGTGTAATACATAATACCACAATCCATTTACTCTTGCTGGAAGGAAGGAGGTTTGGATAGCTTCACAATACATGTTAAATCAACCTTTTGAATCAAAACCTTTTTAAATAAAAAATAAAGCCAAGTAGTAGTCTATTTGCTTAAAGTTGGAATGAAGTTTTTATTTTATTTTTACTACCCCTTTTGGCACCCCTTTGAGTCGGCTCCCGGGGCGACAACGCCACCAACCCTCCCCTAGTTATGCCTATGTAAAGACCCGTTTTCTTCTTCATTTTCTCAATCTAGTTCTTCATATATATATTTTTTATCTGCTTATATGAGCTAAATTTGAAAAACAAAATATATATGCAAAGGAACATGACACTACACAACTCAATAAAACCGAGTTACATGATGTGCGGAATGTGTACACTTTGTGCAGTAAAAAAATCAAATTCTGCAGCTGTCAATTAAATACAATCGTGTGCAGTCCTTAACTCAAAACGTTTAGCATTACACGTTGATCATGGCATCGAAGCGTGTTCATTTGCAGAGCTAAGCAGACATTACGTTCTGAAAACTGTCAGTTAAAAGTCGGTCAAGCGGAGGAATAGAATGCGAGGATTAAACATTGTATACCATACAAAAAAATGGATAAAGAAATGAATAAGGTTAGGGCGACTTGACATTTCTAGAGTTGGGTACACTGGTGTCATACTGAGTTTAGAGGTTATGTTAGGATTAGGTTGAGATCCAAGATTATTAAAAGTTATTTTTGTTCTGTGTGTTTGCACGTATGACTACATGTTTGTGTGTCTGTGTGTGTGCGCGTTGCGCGCGTGTGTATGTGCGTGTGTATAAGTGCTTAGTCTGTGTCTATGGGAATCTGTTTTTGTTGTGTAAGTAAATATAATAGTTTACGAATGTGTATGGCAAGTGTGTGCTTACATGTTGCGCAGTTGTATGTGCGAATATATAATTGTGCATGAATTGTGTCTATTCCGTTTTGTTTGATAGAAGGTGTAAATGTGTAAATGATAAGGTATGTGTATAGGCGTGTAGTACGAGTGTGTGGCAGTATGAAAGTGTGAAGTAAGTGTATGTGTATGATGTATTTTAGTAATACGTGAATCTTCATATGTGTTTAAAAATTATGTTTGTTTATGTCTATGTTGTATTTACTGTATGTCTTATACTAATATATGGGACGGCGTGGGCTAGCGGTAAAGCATTGGACTGCTAAACCGAATGTCTAGAGTTAGAATCCATGTTCGAGTCAGTATAATGTCCCTGAGTCCACCCAGCTCTTATTTGTACCTAACTCTCGTATAGACAGCTGGGCGTAGTGCTGACCACACTAACCCTTCATACGCAGAGGTCAGATAAACAGGTAAACTCTGCTTCACTTACTTCATGTGCCGTGAAGTTCGAAAAGGGACATTTACTATTTTTTACTATTTATTATATTTAAGTAATATGGGCGTTTCTGTGTATCACAATTCATATCGCCCATACTCTCTGTTACAAGTAAATACACAGATGATGTAACACATCGCTTACCTTTTGTTGATGTCACCTAGGTAGTAGGTGTTGATGGGCATGTTGCCGAAGTTCAGGCAGTCAGCAGAGTCCGTGCACTTTGTAAAGGTGGCGTTGTAGCTCTCTGTTAATATGGTACCTAACTGCAATAAAGCAATAATTGAAATTCAACTTACTGACTGTTTTAAACTATTTTAATCGACTAGTCTCTTTCTTCATCTTGTTCTTTCTTAATTTTAGCGATGGAAGGAATCCCCTACCACGATTATTCAATATATAACTAACAATTGTTCTAAAAAACAATGTTTTCATTTATTGTAATAACCATTTTCATTATTAAATTGGCTGTCCTTTTTTCTTCTTTGTTCTAATTCTAGTGTGGGGAGTGATCTCCCTCAAGCACAATTGAGGCAATTGACTCCGATTTCAGCCTGCTTTTCTTGCTTTTCTTTTTGGATTTGCTTCCATAGCCTTTGTCCAACCAAGAACGACCTACAAGGCAGCAGTTGTTTGATTTTGGAGCTGTCTCTCCTAGAAGAGTGGCTGTCCTCCAGCTAACGAGCCTCTTCTTATTTCCAACACATTTCACCTACATTTCTAATGAGTTAAATATCAATACTTTTGGTTTAATCACATTTCTGTGCCACAATTAATAAAAATAATACATTGTATTAAACTAATATCTAATGTAGTGGTTCTTAATATGGGTTCGATCGAACCTTTCGGGTTCAATGTGTTACAGAGGCGTAGCTACCCTCCCCTGCGCCGGGGGACAAACTTTCAATTTGGCGCCCCCTCGGGATCATCCTTTCAATTTTTTATTTGCACCCCCCCCCCCCCAAACTTTCGATTTGCACACACCTCATATATATTTTTTTTAATTTATGAAGCAAAAATGCAGCTAAAATGATATTTTAATTTGTTTTTCCAACCCATTTTGGCGCCCCCCTAAGGTCGGCGCCCAGGGACATTTGTACCCCCATGCCCCCTACGCCTCTGATGTGTTAGTCTCAGGAGGGCAAGACGCACATCCAACGCACATGATTCACGATTAGATTTTGTCAGTGCGGATAACAGATACAATAAGAAGGGTTCGATGAATGCGCATTTAAAACGGTAGGGTTTGGTACTCCAAAAAGTTTAAGAACCACTGATCTAAATAATGTTGTGTTTTAGTGATAGGTGACCAGTTTTGACATACAAGCTAAAATATTTAAAACATCAAACGAAATATATTGTATTGTGATTTTAAGCTCTGAAAAAAATTATAACTGTTTTAAAGTAATACAATTAATTACATAGTTGAAGTTACCTCATTATCAATTTTAGTTAAAATATTTTGTTTTATAGCCGCGTACTCCAGGTTGCTGAATGGTCTACAAGAAGAGAAAAAAACATAATTTATTATTTTTTTTTTACTAACAGATAAAACATTGTACTAACAGTAAAACAATTTTAAACCAAATTTCTATTGTTACTAAAGAGATGACATATCATGAGTTATTACTTGAGATATGAGAAAACAGCCGCTAATTACACAATTAATATAAAGTGTGCACACATTTAATTGCATAAAAGCTACTTTGCACTATGATTTTACCATTATTACGATGTATAATCAATTTTTTTTCCCGGCCACTCTTAAGTCATTTCACATAAATTCGAAACTGAAGTAACATTTCTTATATTTTCGGTTTATATATATATATATATATATATATATATATATACATATATATATATATATATATATATATATATATATATATATATATATATATATATATATATATATATATATATATATATATATATACATATATATTTTTTTATTTTTTTTTCTTGAAATGTATTTTAGAGTAGCTTGAAATGAATTATTCACTACAATCATGCCATGTTTTGAACTATGTTGACCAAATACACTGAACAATACCATGTGTTATCTAGTAAGGAACTTCACCCAACACACATTCTACAACAACATATTGCTATCTCACCTGATGGAGAACTCTACAGGGTTCCTACTTCTTGAGTCGTTGTTTAGGTTGCACGAGAAGATGTTGGGTAGCGGCCCACACCTGAACTCCTGGACTACAGGTGGGGTAAGGTCACCACGGAACACCATGACACGGGCAGCTCTGTTAGGCGGGACTGGAAGAGGAAGGTGTAGAACAGGACGTCAGGCAAGGGGTTTTAAAATATCATGGATGTCAGGAAAGTAGGGTTCAAAATATGAACGGCAGGCAAGGAGGGTTTTAAATATTGACGGCAGGCAATGAGGGTTCAAAATATCATGGATGGCAGGCAATGAGGGTTTAAAGTATCATGGATTGCAGGAAAGTAGGTTCAAAATATGAACGGCAGGCAAGAAGAGTTTTAAATATTGACGGCAGGCAATGAGGGTTCAAAATATCATGGATGGCAGGCAAGAAGGGTTCAAAATATCATAGATGGCAGGCAATGAGGGTTCAAAATATTGACGGCAGGCAATGATCATGGGTGGCAGGCAAGGAGGGTTTAAAATATCAAAGATGGCAGGAGAGTAGGGTTCAAAATATGAACGGCAGGCAATTAGGGTTGAAAATATCATGGACATCAGGCAATTGGGGTTGAAAATATCATGACCGGCAGGCAAGGAGGGTTTAATATATCATGGAAGGCTAGCAAAAAGGGTCGAAAATAACATGAAGCGTTATGAAAGGATGGCCCACAATATAATCATACGTCAGGGAGTGTCCAAAATATAGTGGTAAGTTTTAGACATTAGAGATTTAATAAGTCAAGGAGCGTTACAGAACCAGGGTTAAATATGTAATAAAATAAGACAATAACATAAAGGGTTTAATATAAATATTATATCGGGAGGTCTCACCATGTCATGGGATATGAGATATGATTTAAAATATCAGTAAATGATCAAGGTCGGAGAAAAAAATAATCTTTAAATAGGGTGGATTCAACATTAGATGCATAGCTCGAAATCAAACGTTAAAATGTTATAGAATAATATACAGGTTGAAAATACATTAATAGTATTCATCCACAGACGAAGCATGACGTTTTAAACAAATAAAATAATATAGTGAAGTATACAAACATCGAATCCAACTTTCTATTTGTATAGAGTGTTTATATTTTGTTTAGGGTTGGATGACAAGATCATCACTATTGAAACAAGTTTTCGAAGCTGATATATTGATATTCTATTTGTGTTTGTTTTAACTAAATATTGTGTACGGAAATATCAGCACACACCTCCGGAATTATCTAGAAAACTGAGCACTTCAGCTTTGTTGGGCAGGAGCAGATCCATCATGTAGATAGAGCTGGAACCAAGGGCTGCGGTGCCAGATGATATGATCTTCTCGTTCAGAAGATACGTTCGAACCTGATGAGGAAAACAATACGGATTGGCGGGTTATGGTACGTTAGTTTAGAAATATAAATTGTCAGATTAAGGAACTTGAATTTAACAATATAAATTGTAAGAATATGGAATCTGAGTTTAACAATCTCATTGTCAGATTAAGGAATCTGAGCTTGGAAATACAAATTGTCAGATTATTGAATTTGAGTTTAGAAATAAAGATTGTCGGATTTTGGAACTTGAATTTAACAATCTCATTGTCTGATTATGGAAATTGAGTTAACAAAATAAATTTTCAAATTATGAATCTTGAATTTAACAATACAAATTGTCAGATTATAGAATTTGAGCTTAATAATATACATTGTCAGATTATGGAAGGAGAGGTTAACAATATAATTTATCAACGTGTTATGTCATTTCTTATTTCGAGATTTTTTTAACCTGTTTGTTCAGAAAATAATATAAATTGTCATTATAAGTTGTGCATGCTTAGACAATAAAATTTTCTGTGGTTTATCATCAATGTACCGACGATAATAATACACATTAAGTAGCTTGATTCAAAAGTGCTTTAGTCAAACTTTTATGAACATCTACACTATCAAAGGTGTTTACTACCTTAGAATGACTTTATTTTATGCACACATATTAAAGTTTGGGGATGGGGGGGGGTATTTATGTCATACTTTTCCAAAATATATATAAAACAAAAAAAATAGTTTATAGACAATTTAAACATAAAGGTTTTGTTATATTATCATCTTTATTTTGTGACCAAACTTGTTTTAGCAGTTCGGTCTTTATGTTGTTATAATAGACTTTTCTGTTGTTTGTTATAATTTATTTATTCGCCAACACAGGAATCAGCGATATTGCATTGATTTTAACAGTAAAGTTTGCGTTCGTGAATTGTTTTTTACTTTTAAAATAAAATGAATAGACGCATCTGTTAAGGTGTTGCGATTACGTGTATATCTGTAACATTTTTATAATATTAGAACCGTGTGATATAGCAGTAAATAATTTTTTTTTACTTTATTTGTTCATTTATTCATACTTATTATCTCGAATTTGTTTAGAAATTAAAATTTTCCAGACGAATTACTAGCTGATTATGCCCCGAAAAAAAGATACAGAAGTCTTCTTTCAGTATTGTGGGATGAATACCGCAATATGAATGTGATGTTTACGATTTAAATATTATTAATCAAGCTAATTAAAATAGAAAAACGGTAGAAAATGCATTGACAGAAAACATTTACAAAATGAAAACTTACGTTTTTGATCTCTTGAATGGTGAGGTCGTGGAAAGGACCCGGCGTCAGAGGTTCCATCAAGTTGATGGTGTTGTCGTTAGTGTTGGTGGCGCCGCAGGCTGTGGACTTGGTGGTGGTGTTGGTGGAGGCTGCGGTGGTTGCGGTGGTGCCGCTCTGTAGCGCGTCCCTCTGTTTGCAGACGACGATCAGGGCGATGGCCAGGCCGATGGAGAGGACGACGAAAAACATCGCGACCAGGCCCCAGAACCACATCTTTAGCAGACCGACGATCTTCTTCGCCATTTCTAAAGGGTATAAATATATCATTGTAAAAACTGTGTTAGGCTAGAGTGTACTTGTTTTTCGCTATATAATGAAGTAAAATTATACTTTTTAGTACAATTTAGTACCTAACTCACGTTGGGAAAAGTATACACGGATGGGCATAGTGCTGACCACACTTCATATGCCGAGGTAGCAGAAACAAGTGAACTCTACTTCTTTTACCCCATATAATGTTAGGGTTGAAAGTACAATTGCTTAGTACAATTTTAGGTATGTAGGATATTAGTAGGCGTTGGGTAATGAGGATAAAGTACAGTTTAGTTCGTGGGCTAACGTTCATTAAAAGAGTTAAACCAGATCAGTGAACACCCAACTCGAATCGGTGAATGAATTGTATGTACAGATTACCTTAGTTCTGAACACAAAATCAGCTAACGAGGTGAGCAAAATTAAGCCATTGACCTTTTATCTACACTTTGAACTTTTAGTTCTGAAATTGTCCAGTTTTTTAAAGGTCTGAAAGTATAACTTTAATTAGCACAAAAACTAAATAAAAAAACTAAGTAACGGTGTCCTTACTTGTTATGTTCTTGAATCCTTGTTTTAACTTTTTCTTCTCACTTCTAAAAATAAAAAAAAATTAATAAAATTACATTCAATAAACCATGTAGACATCACAGAAAATAAATACACAAAACAATTAAAAACGCATTTAGTGAATATCGTATTAAAATAATATATAATCAATATGGTAATTAGTTTTACGGATTTGTTAGTTAATACTAGGCCTATGATTTATATAGGTATCATATAGATACGTCCTAAACCTTGAATTAGTATATCAGACATATCGGTTTTATGTTTTATAGGTCCTACACATTGAATGAATAGATCCAATTAGAAATAAAAGGACAATTTTTTTTTTCACCTGTGACGAACAGAAGCCAGTGACTAAGAGACTCACTACACCAAAAGTTGTTCAGGATCAGACGACTGATCTGATCACGTCTGAATGTTTATCCAACAACCCGCAACCACGGGCCAACCACGACCCGTACCAAAAGTGACAGCGTTATTATACCGTGACGGACGCGGAAACTGATTTCTCTGGGTGGCGCTGAGGCGTGCGTGCGCATCGAGGTACAGGTGTGTTTGTTAATGGGGGAGGGGGGGTGGGGCATTATCACTACCCACATTCACTGATGTAAACCAGCTACCAAAGCACTTTGATGTACGGAGGACACTGTTCACTACGACCGCACACCTATAGTAGTAGTAAGTAAAGTATTAATGCGCAGTGGCGTCAGTTTAAAACTTATAGGGTAGCCCCGTTTTTACACACACACACATACACACATACACACACACACACACAAACACACACAACACGCAAGCACACACACACACACATACATACAACCAGCTAAGATTTATGCAAATGTATCTTTGATGTGACCGAATAACCCAGTTTCGGTTTTTCTATATCAACTCGATAGACACTCATATATCATTCCATCAAGTCACTGATCGAATTTGGGTCTCCCCCCCCCCCCTAGATGATAACATCATCCCTCCCTCTGCCATCTCCAGGCAAAGCTACCATTCTGGTAACCCATACGGCAGAGGATATGTTTGGATAGTGAACATAAAGAGAGTGTATGAGTCAAAGTCTACACGAATCTGTTTACATGTGTTTAAATGTGTTTAAACGCTGCTCGTGTATCTACTACAACTGGGAATGTAATTTGACGTCTCATATACTAGAATTCGAGATTCGAACTAAAAAACTTGGGTACCGAAATCTACGCCCTAACCCTCAGCCATAGCAGCCAATGCGAAACGTAATTTAAAGACGTCAAAACGTAATCTCGTTACTTGTACTTAAAAATTACAACGCCCCTGATTACAACAAAGACGCTAACAACATTAGGTCGGCCGTAGCAACACAGTCATTAGCCTGCTGTCAATGATAATGTATGCAGCACACAATGGCTTCAAAGTTGGTTAAACAAAAACCGTATCATTAGCCTGTTGGGGTTTCTTTACTTTTCTTCCACCTCTTCCTCCCCATTTGCAATCTTAAAGCTCTAGTGTAAGACTACAACCAATATCACCCCCTCCCACTGAAACACATTTCGCTCTATCATTATAAAAGTTTACGAGTTACAGACCCTCCTCCCTCCCCCTCCCCACTTCTCTATTGTATTTTAGTTTAGGTAATACATCCACCCTTTACGCCACCCCTACGTCTAGTTTTTTTTTTTTTTTTTTTTTTTTTTTTTTTTTTGCGTAGATCTAGTTTAGATCTAGAATAATATTCTAGATCTAGCTATTATCTAGATCTAGAATCCTAATAGATGAAGTGAATTTTATAAGTTTAGGCCGAGAAAATCGTATTGTATACATTTCATGGCGTACGTAGCTCTAAATCATATTTGAATGAAATAGTTTATTTCTTTTTATTCTAAACTCGGCAGATGACGTCATAAGTTTCGTGCTCTTTTAGTGTAAACAATACGCGATGACATTGTTAAATGCGTTCTTGTCCCAAGTATAAACACTTTTCCGGTTGCATAATTAAAACTGTTTTTCTACATTCGAATACGCCTTTATTTTTGATGTTTCTTCTTTAAATAAAATTGTGGTTATACATTTAAAACATCTAACATATTATTTTCAACAAAAGTCCGTATCAAGTTCTCCACATATCGCTGAAGATTCTGATGTGATATCCTGCGAAAATATTTTGCGGACAGAGAGAGAGAGAATGAGAGAGAGAGAGAGAGATAGATAGAGAGAGAGAGAAGTGCGCACATGGTCTTTTATATATTAGGATACATTTCATCCCCCACCATCTCACCCTTACTACGCATTTTATAATTAGGTATTACATCCACCCTCCACCCTATCCTTACGTCGCATTTTGCATATAATTATTATAGCCGCCACAACCCCACCACTATGTCACATTTTATATTTATGTATTTCATCCACCCTCCACCCCCACCTTATATCGTATTTCATATGTGCGTATTTAAGCCCCCTACCCCTACCTAACATCACTATAACATAGTTTTGAGGTATGTACAATTACAACCCCCCCCCCCCCATTCACACCTCTATTACTTTTTACATTTAGGTGTTTTATACCACCGTTTCACACAATACGTAACCACAGCTCCCCCTTCCACTGCCACCCCTCCCCTTTCCCACCAACCTAGGCTACTTATCTCTCTCAGTACAGATGCAACGAATACGTCAATGCCGTGGACTATGAAGGTGAATTATCACACATTAAAATCCTTTTGACGTGAATTATGAATGCAGCGGCGTGTGTGATATATCAAACACGTACAGCCAAGGTGAATTATGAATTTCTTGAGCGGTTAATTAGATACAGTCTCTAATGACAGCGCGTTATTAAGTAAATTAAACGCTTAATTAGAGAATAGATGGCTGGTAGAAATTGTACAATGTCTCGTCAACATACATAATATAATTTTGAACAGTTGAACGCTTTGCCGAAAGACACAACCCCGAATGAAGTTTGTTTAAAGGTCGTTTACCGAATGGACATTTGCCCGAATGCGACAAATGCTCGAATGGACTTTTGCCTGAATATAACAAATGCCTAAATGGACATTTGCCCGAATGCAACAAACGCCCGAATGGATACTTGCCCTAATGCCTTTAGACTTAAGCCCGTTTTCCCGAAATGACACTTGTCTGAATGCGAAAAACGGCTTTCGGGCAATAGTCATCCGAGAATTTGTCTTTTTTAATAAGATAAAACTATGAAAAGTTCAATGAATAAAAGCATTTTTTTTTTAAATTTGCGATTTTGCAGACAACATTATCGGGGGATTGGAGAGACGTACTCCCATATTATGGGCATAGTGCTGACCACACTATCTCTTCATATGCCGAGGTCACAGTAACAAGTGAACTCTACTTCACTTGCCCTATAAACCGTCAGTTTTGAAAAGGGAACTTTTTAAACTCACATATTAACATGTCGTAGCCCTCATATAGATTTGCATATTATATGAGAAGCAGTAACGTCAAGACATCAACAATCTTTGCAAGATGTCTGCTGTGAGGTCGGTTTAACAAAAGTATACTCTTCTGTATATAAACAATTGTGTTATACGTTATTCCCTATTACAAGGGAGAGTACCTATCAGGTTTGTTTTTTTAAGCTATCATTGCTGTTACGACGAAGGCTATAATTATACAACTAAAATATGTTTTGCGTTTAGAACCTAGTTAGTAAAAACATAAACAGGGACGTATTTACATAATTCTTCCCACTATAAGTTGAGCTATTTTTTTTTTATAACAGTGGTTGACTCTTAACATTTATTATTTGCATACTCGAGTTCAAACTCTGACACACCAGGATCTAGTGTAGATACAAACACACTAGGCTGTGGTTAGCCTAATGACAGGATAACACGCCAGCCAGCTAATGATATACACGCAGGGCTATTAAACAAACATGAGGTCGGCATCTCTATTCAAGTCTACAGTTACAAAGTTACATGTTGACTAGACGTCATAGCTTTCTTAACTCCATTATATTTATTTTACACAACGTTTATTTATCTCTCTTATTATAGTTCAGAATAACTATTTTCTAAGTCGGTCAAGATTATATAAATACAATAGTTTTTTTTTTTTCATATTTGAGTGTGTTTTTTTTTTGGTTATTTATAAAACTATTTATTTACTCCCTAATCTTTTCAACATGCAGTTACTGTTCTTAACTCCCCTAAATGTTATTATTATTAACTTTTTTCTTTCTTTTCCTCTTGTTTTATATGTTTAACGACTCAAAGATTTAAACTTACATATTCGACATATTAAAACAACTGCTTGGATAAGGCTATGAAAGCTAATACAAAAAGAAAAGCAGGCTGAAATCGGAGTCAACGGCCTTTATGTCGCATAACAAGTTGACACGTAATACTTAACTTTGATGAATGGCATAGCTTCCAACATTTGAAAATATAAAATAAGACATATTAAAAAAGGTAACACACATTTATGACAAGGCTAAAATATCAAAGGTTACGAAGTTTTTTCTTTTTAATGCAAAGCTGTCAAGCTGGACAGCAGTAAAAAACAAGGTTTCTGTCTTTAATTTTAGTTTAGGATTTAGTGTAAAGTTAAAATAAATTATGTAGTTAAACCAAGTTCAGCGATATCGAATATAAGTATATCATGTCGGATCTGATTTTGTCTTAAACTAAACATAAATGCATTCATACAAAAGTTAAACTCAATTCAATTTTCTCTTTATGTTAATGAAAACTAATAAACATTTAAAAATGAATTTAAAATAAAGTGCCAATTTCAAGATATGATATAAAGCCATAAACTAAATACATGCGCTTACCTTTTTCGGTTGTGTTACTAGAGTAAAATACAGGTAAACTATTCTGGAATATCAAATAGAAATTACAGGTAGATGGAAGGACACGGGAAAGTTTAACACACGATTGTTTAGTGCGGCTTTATAAGACAGGTGAATGCCTTGAAAACACCTGGTGACGTCGCCAGGTAAGTCGACCCGTCGCCGCTGTTTTGTGTCCTGACAAAAGGTCCTGACGTCACGGCCTGAGACGGGGATCACGTGGTGTCTGTGATCCAAATGATGGTCTGTTGTGCGCGGTTCACCAACACTGATTGGTTGGTTGTGTAAGGGCCGTAACTTGATTGTTAACAAAAGTGTTTAATCATAGGCAAGAAAGAAAGTTTAAGAAATGAACATAAACAATGAGTGTTATAACAATGATTGTGAGATCATCATGATAATGATTCATTTACATATGGTTGATACTTAATTAAATTGTGTCCAGTAATGATTAATTGAATGTTGTGAAAATTGAATTACAAACTGATTACAAAGACTAACAATGTTTATCAAAAATGTGTAAGAGCAAGTCGAATCTCTCATTTAAACATAAAGTCATTCTAGATTAGTCTATGTACCCATTGGTGGTACTGGTTAGAAGGTATTGAGACCGGAATACATGTAATGTCGGAATATTTTAATGAATATAATCAATTAGTAAAAGAGATCTAAAGCCCTTCATATTAAAATTAGCATACGCGAGCTAAATGTGTAATTATATTATTTTATATTTTTCTAGATTATTTTAGTATTACTTTTACAATCAGTATTTACTATATATATATATATATATATATATATATATATATATATATATATATATATATATATATATATATATATATATATATATATATATATATATATGCGTATATGTGTGTATAAATACACATACATATTTCTAACCCATAACTACGTATTGCATGTGGTTTCTGTCATTATGAAGTACTTTATGCTATATTTAAGTTGTACTATTCATGCCGTCTTGCAACCCTTCACTGCTGTCGTCACTTGCAGCGTCGGCCACAGCGTTCTTGAACTATTTTTACTTCTAGAATCGGTACACCACGTACACACAAACAGAAATGTTGTGGCATGTAAACAGCATGTTGTTCACAAAATAGTTTGACCGTACATATTCTCATAGTGTTCTATCGGAAGATAGTTTTTTGTAGTTTCGCTAAACCGAACGAAAATCTAGACCGTAATCTCTATTAAATCAAAGGCATTTGTTAACTGCAATCCCAGTTGTAACCCTTATACACTAACTCGCCTAGGCAAAACTGAATACAAATAATTTTACTTATATTTTACATATATTTTACATAGTGACCAACGTGTACATGATTGTACCTTATATTTTAAAGATGCAATTTAAAGATATTAATAGGTTTATTATAATTATTGGTGGTTGATATCTACAAATATATTCAGTCATAATACTCCGATTACAAAAAAAAAACAACACAAAAAATCCACTAAGTAACCATATATTGCCGGGGTCTCCAAACTACGGCCCGCGGGCAGGATGCGGCCCGCGAGGTCCTCTCATCCGGCCCTCGGAGATATTTTTGTCCACGGAACAAATTTTTTTGTTGTAGGTGGCTTTGGAAAAATGCCACCCCAATGATATACCTAAAAAGAAACTCTGGCCCCCGAACTTATATTTGATAGTTAATGCGGCCCTCGGGTTGAAAAGTTTGGAGACCCCTGATCTATTGTATTAGCCTTGATTAGCGTTTAAGAAATGAAAGAAAACAATTCCTTATTCTAGCTCTCTACCATCAAATGGTATCCATGAACTATTTTATCGACCGCTTTAAAACAGGCGTGACGTCACGTGTGAACGACCTAATAAAATCTACATAATGACGTAGATTCACACGTTCATCACTGCGGGTCTTCCTCCCCCCTCCCCCTGCCCCCCCCTGCCCCCCCCCCCACCCCCACCCCCACCATGCCGCCACTCTCTCTATCTCCCCCACAGGCAAAGTTCGCCGTTTGTTACAATATTCTTACACAGACAGTTCTGATTAACAAGGGTTGTTCCCCTTTACAAAATTAACGCCGCTGCTGCTGTAGATAGGCAAAATCGTGATGGCGTGGCCGACTTCTTGAAACCGGACACTCGAGTTGTAATTAGACCTGAAATACTAGTAGTGGACTAGCTAAATTTTAAAAAAATGAGGAATTTATTACAGGTGTGGGGTGGATCTGTCACGTTGTCTTGCCTCGTTTTTCATTTATGCTTTAGCCGTCCAAAGATTTTGGACACGATATATTTTTATATAATCTTTTTTTTACATATGAAACTGTATCATGATATCACCCTTTTAATGATGTATTGTCTGAAGTGGGTATATGACACCATCCCATCGGTCTTTTACCTAATTGTAATATCATCGACCATTATCATTGTATTTACATCGACCATCCCTGCAAATTTAGATAGTTGTTTGGTAAACAACAGGCATAGGCCTACACATACATAAGCCTACACACACACACACATATATATATATATATATATATATATATATATATATATATATATATATATATATATATAGTGGCAGAATATTTCGGGCAGAAGGTAAGGTCACCTTTATGCAGGTAGTTGGTGCTTGACCAATAGCACTAGTGCTAGTGTGGTAGAGAAAACTTTACGGTAGAGGTCATTACATCAAAGTTAAATGTAATTAAATTAGCTGAAACATGGTCACGTACTCGGGTATTTGCATAGTTTGTCGCTAGCACCTTGTAGCGTTTACACACAACGTCCGTCGGTGTCCCAAACTAATACAACCTACGCTAGTAACTTCACCCAATCGGCGTATTAATATCGTTGATATAACATTTTGCAGGGTATCGGGTTTACATTAATTATAGCAGGTAATCACATTTATATGTCGTGTAACAGGGAACTACGTTCATATGAAGTCTAGCATGGTATCACGTTTATATGTTGTGTAACAGGGCATTACGTTCATATGAAGTCTAGAATGGAGTCACGTGTATATGTTGCGAAACAGGGCATTACGTTCATATGAAGTCTAGAATGGAGTCACGTTTATATGTTGTGTAACAGGGCATTACGTTCATATGAAGTCTAGAATGGAGTCACGTTTATATGTTGCGAAACAGGGCATTACGTTCATATGAAGTCTAGCATGGAGTCACGTTTATATGTTGCAAAACAGGGCATTACGTTCATATGAAGTCTAGCATGGAATCACGTTTATATTTTGCGAAACAGGGCATTACGTTCATATGAAGTCTAGCATGGAGTCACGTTTATATGTTGCGAAACAGGGCATTACGTTCATATGAAGTCTAGCATGGAGTCACGTTTATATGTTGCAAAACAGGGCATTACGTTCATATGAAGTCTAGCATGGAATCACGTTTATATTTTGCGAAACAGGGCATTACGTTCATATGAAGTCTAGCATGGAGTCACGTTTATATGTTGCGAAACAGGGCATTACGTTCATATGAAGTCTAGCATGGAATCACATGTATATGAAGTTACGTAAGGTAAAGATGAAGCCAGGCAGGGCATACTGTTTATATATATAACGGTAGTAGGGCATAGCGTTTTACATGCAAATTAGCAGAGAGTACAACTTGCAAGAAAGTAGGACATACAGTATAGTTAAAATCGAGCAGGGCATTCAATTTACCAAAACTATGGTAGCGCGGACACTTTAACTTAACCACAGCTATAGGCATTCAGTTTACATGAACTATTTCAGTACTATAACACAAACAGTGGCGTAGCGAGGTCGGGTGTCACCCGGTGCGGCACTTAATGGTGTCACCCCCCCCCCAGAGGCATAGAGACCCTTCCCAGGGACAAACTTTCAAATTTTCGATTTGCACCCCCCCCCCCTCAAACTTTCGATTTGCACCCCCCCCCCCCCCTCAAACTTTCGATTTGCACCCCCCCCCCTCAAGTTTTCGATTTGAACCCCCCCTCAAACTTTCGATTTGCACCCCCCTCGAGTTTTTCTCTATATATTTTGCTATTTTTTGCCTTGGTGTCACCCCCTAAATGGTGTCACCCGGTGCGGTCCGCACCCCCCTCGCTACGCCCCTGAACACAGCCACAACTGGGCATTCAGTTTACATAAACCCTTGCTTACAGAGCACACATTTTACATACACAGTGTTCCGGTCCTAGATTAAAACTCAACATTAAATGTGTCAATGTAGTAAGTCTTAACACAGACACACGCATACACAACACATACAGTTACACATTAAATATCTCAGCATACGTTAAGCTATGGAGAAAACACCAACTACACAATTCACTTATGAATGCACATATGTTTAATGAATACCAGTAGTTACCATATCTATAGTAGGGTATTGGGCTTGTGAACTATACTGATTGGTACAATTGTACTGTAATAAAATTCCCGTGGAAGTTATTATCTTTTGTCCGTGGTTGTTTAAAAAAAAAATAGAATACATTCCATTTTTAAACGATACATAGCTTTAATGTTTTTATAGAGTTAACGAGGTTTAGCTAAAACCTAATATGTTTCTACCTTGAGCACCGAATGTTACATTTTAATAACTTTGATCCGCGCCGTAAAGACGTTATTAACTGCGGCCCAGTTTCTGTTTGGGAGAAATTAGTGACACACATGTAGGCAATGGTGATACACGTGTACTCAGTGGTGACACATAGGGAGTATTGGATGGAATGTCATCACTATTGAGCTTACTTACGTCATATGTGCGTATGTCTGTCAAGCGTGCGTATCAAAAACGTGACATGTTTTTATTTATACCTGTAAAAACGTGTGGGTCAATTACCACCCCATGCGGATCATCTCAACGACAGAATCGTTGAGCCTCTCTCCGACTGTGTCGCTGAGAATAAAACCCTTTGGTGGTTTCTCAGTCAACACTGTCGTTGAAAATAAAACAACAATTAAACATGCTCTCCACAATTAGGAAAGCATAAACTGTAGGTGTTTTGACGCTAATATTCCAGCCATTTTGTTTTGACGAGAGCTAGTCCAGATCTAGACTAGATCTACTTGATCAACGATTTACACTGATGTAAAACCTACGTAAATCAAATCTACAAGATCAGGATTTACATTTAGATCTAGAAATCTACATTATTGACTAACTAGAGAGAAAAAGT